CATCAATCAATAATGTTTTTCGAAAATAAGTAACTGCCAAATATGATTAGTTAAAATATTTAAATAACATCCAACACCGATAGTAAATTATCCTCTGGTAAGAACATACACTTCCATAACACATAGTGTTATGTAATCATTCTTGTTCAAAGTACATATTCAAGTTGCATTGTAACACATGTGATTCATGTAGTACATATGGCGTAATTCGTGCAGCACTTAGAAGATAAACAAGTGTTGATAATACAATCTTGAACAACAGAACCAAGAATAGTTACCTGGCTAGTTTATTCAAATATATTCCCAAACATTTTTAGACTTCTAATTGCTAATCCCCTACAAGATAAGAATACTAAGTTAAATTATAATTCTTTAGTTAGTCTAATATGGTCTAGTGGAAAGAATTTCCGTTGTTTCAATAGAAACTAAAAAACCCTTTTTATTCAATCCAAAAACAACAATCCTTATTTTTTCTAATAGAAGAGATTGAAAGACTCGAAAGTATACATGAAATTTGCAAACCGCTTTATGTTTTTTCATTAGAATATGCATTATATTTAAAGGATCTAGCCAAATTATTAAGGAACTTCAGTGAGAATGCCTAAGATCTGATTTGGAAAGAATGAAAGAGAGTGGGCTAGTTTATGCAAGTGTGGAAACTAGAGATTCAATTCAAGTTTCAAAAATTAGCAATGTTTGATGACATAGACTCGAACCAACAAATTTGTTTATTCATTTGAAGCTATCTAAAGACCTTATAGTTGTCACGAAGATATATATATAGATCGTAATAGTAGTGTTACATGAGAAAGATGTGATCCTTTAATCTTTATTCACTAGTTTTACTCCAAAATTTTTCTTTATGCATTTGGATCAATTACAATAATTAATGTTTTTAACTAGGGGGTTCCTTACAAGAAGAAGCCGACAAATGTTCAGTAAAAATTGCAAACTTAGAGATCCGAGAACATTCGCCAAGGTTTGGAATCCCAATTCCACTTGCCAAATGAAACCGTCGATGTAGAGACTTGCTGACACTTATTATAGGTTTCCTATGAGATAAACTCGCCTTGCCCACACTTCTACCGATCGGGCCTAGTTCCTTCAAATTTGGCCCTAGTGAACTTGATTCACCTTTCGACAACCAAGTGCATTTGTTCACAATTCTTAAACACTAAAAATCCCTACAAAACATCAGTTAAATTTCAATTATCACCCATATGAAGTAGGCATATTGCTCCAACAAACAATTCCTTTTTTTTAATTGAAAAATTATAGTGAATCTGGTGTTTATCGAACGAAATGGGGTCAGGACAGAGAAATAAGGGAAATAATTAAAGAATAACTTCAAAAGCATTACGACATTGCAGAGAGCTATATCTTGAGCTAGAAAATAGGATTTCAACTGAAGATTTGGTTGTAATAAACTGAAAATATCTAGATCTAAGCTAGGGTTTTGAGTATTTTTAAGAAAGAAAATAGGATAGCTAGTGTTGTTGAAGTGATCACAAAAAGGTCCTTGTGATCATTCCCAATAATGATGGCTATTATATTTATCTTCGGTTTTTTAATGATTGGTTGAAAATTTGTTTATACTGGTATTAAGGATGATGGAAGGTTTAACCTGAAAATACAAAGTGGAAAAAAGAAAATCCAGTAAGGCTATGTCGACCTATCTGTTGGCCAGTTTAAGCCGACGCCAAAATCGATGACAACATTTTCTATTTTTAATAGTTTCTTTTGAAAGTTTTGGATTTAATTATTTTTTCTTTCAGTAATTTATGACAAGCGTTAATAGTCTCTATTTAAGAAAAAATTTGGCCTCTATTGTAGAAGAGGACTTTTTTTTTTATGAATTTTAAAATGAAAAACACAAAAGAGGATCCCTTTGTTCTTAATTTTTGGGGGTTAATTCAACCTGTGTGAATTTATATACTTGCACTTGTAACAATCCTGTTACTGAATTTAGTATTCTTAACTGGTAGAGATTTATCAGGCGGTTCAAAAGACAATCATCAATGTGGGACATTTACCAGCTTGCTTGACATGCAAGCTTCTCGGGGCATCACATGTTACAGTGTGCATTTCGAACAAATTAGTTTTCTGGTTAAAAAAATAAAGACGGAACTTTGCACTTCATATGTTTTTAGAAACAAAAACTAAACATTAGTAATATAGTAAAACCTCTCTAAATTAATAGCATTGAGCCCCTAAAAATTTATTAATTTATCGAGTTATTAATTTATCGATAAATTAATAATTATTACTTTAAAGAGTTTTTCATTTCTAATAAGGATAATCTTTGCCAAGAAGAAAACAAAAGTCGATTATAATTATAGACTTCTAACTTTATTAATACGGTATTAGGGTTATCTTTGTGTAACTGCAAATTTTGAATCTCCAAAAAAGAAGCACTAAAGGCAACAACAACTGCTCATAATTTTTTGATGCAGTATGACAAAGGGGCACCGGAATTTTTGAATGCAATGAGAAAAATCAAAGATGATATCTCCATAGATATAAATTTTAAAGAAAAACAAAGATCAATAGATTCATATTTAACTAAAAATTATTAGTTTTTGTTTAGGTAATTATTAATTTATGAAAAAGTGGGGACCTATATTTACATAGGGGATTTTTGAAAATTTATTATCTTATAAATTAATCGAATTTTTTTATTTTTTGTACCGGTCCCGAATAGGGACCGACAAAAAATATTATTTAATAGAGGTTATAAATTTATAGAGAATTAATTTAGAGAGGTTTTACTGTAACTAGTACGCCAAGTGTTAAAAGTTATCATATTATAATGCACTCTAAATCTCCCCTTACCAAGTTTGAAATCTTCCATTTATCTATAGATCTGCCTATATGAGTAATATCGTCAATAGAATGCTGAATCCCCCCTAAAACACGATCCAGATGCCATGATGCTTGAGAAAACTTGAGACGATCAGTGCCAATTTTGAGTGATTGTTCAACGTAACTTGTTACGTCATCCAGAACCTTTAGACATGTTTTTGTTTTTTCAATAAGTGGATTTTTTTATTTTTTTTTAGAAAAAAATGATACAATTATCAATTTTAGTGAGTCATCCCCATATACATTATCAGGATGAGTGTCCTTAAATGACTCATAAAATTTATATATATATATATATATATTTTCTTTTACTATATTAAGTTGCATGGTAATTTCTTCTCTACTTCTCGTTAGTTGTGTGGGACTAAGTTTCCATCTCACATCATCAGTCTATTTTTTATGAGTTTTGATCAATCATATCCTCTATGCCGCTTACCACAAATGTGCATTTCTATTTTCCAAATATCACACATTATCGATTCCCAGTTCCCTACATACTCTTCAACTGATTTCATATAAGGAGTTTGGTTCAAATAACTCGCAAACCAATGTTCAAATGAAAATTTTGGTTCTTTGTTGAACTCAAAAACAAAACTAGACATTCTTTGCACTTATACACAATCAAAAAATATATTAGAGATTATTTCAACTCTCTTCTAATGTATTCTTTTGGTCCTAATTATAAGGCATAAATTTTAATTATTGTAGTGTATACAACTCTTTGGTCTAATTAGTTAAAATTTATATCTTATAATTTGTATAGTTCATATTTGTGTCTTATAATCAGGCATGTTGGTACCTTAGGTATTATCCATGTATCTCAAAATCTCTTGTATCAATTCATCTTTAACTCTCCCCCTCTCCGTAAGAATTAAATTGTAGAGTTAAGATCTTATCCCAGGAAATTCAATGCATACTTCTTCATTAAATAAAATTCTCCCTCTTTGAATGGCTATATTTTCGAGGTTAATTGTTAAACACATTTAGTACTATCTTGTTGAATCTGTTAAAGTATAATATCTGTCCCACGTCGCCACCGTGAAGAGAAGTGACTTAGTATATAAGTTTCAAAGGCTATCCCACTTATTGCCAATTGGTTTTGAGATGGAAGTCTAAAGTAATTATATACTTTGACATGGTATCAGAGCATGCTGCGCCTGTGGTGAAGTTCGGGCCGTAGGTGGCCTGTGGTGATTTTATATTAACCCACTTGAGCGTTGACTCATGGACTTGTTGTGGACTGATCCAGCGGTATAACTGGTTTTTCTCTCACTTGAACGTTGACTAGTGGGTTTGTTGTGGACCGATCCATCGGTATAACTGGCTGTCTCCCACTTAAATGTTGACTCGTGGGTTATTCTGTTCGCTTGTTGTGAACCGATCCAGCTGTATAACTAGCTGTCTCTCACTTAAACGTTGACTCGTGCATTATTCTGTTCTTATCCTGATCCAAGTCCATTGGACATATACCGTTGTCTCCTATTTGAGCGTTGACTCGTGGGTTATTATGTTCTTATTCTGATTCAAGTTCATTGGACAAAAAGTACAAAGACCCATTGAATTTGAGAGAGAGTATTAAAGTGTAGTATCTGTTCCACATCGCCACCGGAAAGAAAAGTGACTCAGAATCGTGTCCATACGCATCCGATCAATTCTTGGCCGATCCGTTCACGTGTTCATAGGACATCACCTAATCATTTTGAATTGTGTTCGGTTTGTAGAGTCTATATCCATCTATCAGTTACATTTTCTGCACAAATAAAATGAAAAATACATTAGATAACATTCAAGTTTTAAATAGAACACCATTGAGATAAAATTAAGAAGAAAAATCATGTTTTTGTCCAAATATCACGTAACACCATTCAAATATATATATTTATCCAAATATTACACATGATTCTTGTTAAAGGATGATAGCAACAAATTGAGAAACCGAAAACTGAAAAGTACTCATCCTTTCGCTTGTTTTTCCCCCTTCAAAATGTACATATCATTTTTGGCACGTGTCGTTCAATTGAGTGTTCTCTGTTTCCGATCAAACCAACTGAAACCACAGGAAAATTACACTGCAACTGTTTTTAGCGCGAAAAGAAAAAAATCAACCTCATTCACAACATCGTACTCGAACTAAACCAATGATTTCCACAGCAGCTTCACCAATCCCATTTTCAGCAAAAACCCAGCTAAAGTTCCACAGAACCCATGACACCCTTAACGTAAATCCTCAAATTAGGCGACTGAAATTCACTATTCGATGTTCTTCTTCTACAAGTTTGAGAGAGAAATCTGAAGAAAAGTCATCTTCTTCAGCCGATGAGTTGAAGGGGGGCAAAGATGGGGAGTTTTTGAAGAGTGAAAAGGGTGATTTGGTTGATTTCCTCCCGCCCATAAAGGTTGCAAAGAGGGTGGTGCTGGTGAGGCATGGGCAGAGTACTTGGAATGCAGAGGGTCGGATTCAGGGCAGCTCCGATTTTTCGATTCTGACCCAAAAAGGGGAGGCTCAGGCTGAAACTTCTCGCCAAATGCTTATGGATGACTCTTTTGATGTCTGCTTCTCAAGGTCTGTTTATCTTAATTCCTAGCATTTCCATTTCAGTTCCCCGGCATTGAAAAGTATTATGCTTTCTATTGAATAGAGTTTCATTTATTGTTGGAAAGAGTTAGTTCTAGTTAAAGAAGGTGCGTTTTTTCGGAAGAGAGTAAAATTCGAGTTGTTTTGGTAATTTTGGTTGTATCAGTCATTGTGCAAGGTGTATTTTGAATTAGAAAAGTATGCTAAGGGTTTATTCTTGGAAGAATGTAGGGAATATATATATATTTTTTGGTTGGTATCTTTTACTGGTTAAAATTAGATGGAAAGGGAGCTCGCTAGTGCGAAGGCAAATGAGTATGCTTTTCTTCTCTAGTTTTTTCATTTTGAGAGGAGTTATGAATGGAAGGTTTGGCTCATTAAGATTTGAGTTTTCTGACATTGTTATCTCGGAGTCCATGACTCCATGTAGGATCCATTTGTCATTGTGGAGGCTATATTTTCACTAGATTGGTCAAGTGATCTAAGCTTTCTGTCCAAAGCATTTGGTTAATAATACAGTATCTTCCCATTGTATACCTTGCTTTCCTGTCTGTCCTTTGAGCAATTAGGATTCACATGCTGCAGCCCACTGATTCGGTCAAAGAGGACGGCTGAGATCATATGGGATGCTCGAAAGGAAGAGATAATCACTGATGCCGATCTGCGAGAAATCGATCTTTACTCTTTCCAGGTGAGCTTGTTATTTTATTTACCAAAATCAGGAATACTCAAATTTCTTAATTTTTTTGTCCTATTGTTAATCCTGAACATGCTTTCTGATCTAGGGCCTCCTGAAACATGAAGGAAAAGCTAAATATGGATCAGCATATCGTCAGTGGCAGATAGATGCTGCGAATTTCATTATAGATGGTCATTATCCTGTAAGAGAGCTGTGGGAACGTGCTAGAAACTGTTGGAGTAGAATTCTCACTCATGAAAGCAAGTCTGTACTAGTTGTTGCTCACAATGCTGTTAATCAAGCACTTGTTGCCACAGCCATTGGTACCCTTAGCTCTAATTCCTGTAGTCTCTTGAGTGTTAGTAATAGTTTTGCCTTGTGCTAGCATTTTGACTCTTTTGTTTTTGTCCTTTTTGCACAGGACTTGGCACTGAGTACTTCCGGATTTTACTTCAAAGCAATTGCGGTGTTAGTGTCTTGGACTTTACTCCACAACCTGAGGGTGGATCACCTAGTATATGTTTGAATCGTCTAAATCAGGTGTGATTTGACACAGGATCTGAATCTTCTAGGAAATAAACATCAGTTTCTTCAATCTTTTTGTTCTTTTATGAACTACTTAAGGGATTATATGTGATGTAGTTGAGCCATTTGTTTCTCATGTTTTGATATTTCCTAAAGGACCTGACTGTTTCATTGTATAATTTTGTCCAGAAGGATATGTGGGGGTGGATTGAATATTCTTTTCCCTTATATATAATGAAATACCAACTTTAATGTGAAAATGATTAGGTTTTCTATTACAGCAGGCATCTTTCGGACATCTTTCTGAATGATCTAGTCATTTTTCTATTGCTTGTGACTGTATAATCATCTGAATATGTTGCCATTTGGGTGGAGTGCATAAGTGCCGTTAGACAATAGGGTTGTGGGAGTGTCCTAGGAGGCCCATCGGAGCCATTCCGTATGGTGGGTATCTGAGTCTTTTAGTGACGTAATATGACATAGTACCATGGTTATGTCTTCCCTTTAATTTTTGGCAGTCCTCATCTAGGTCAAGTTTACTCATGCATGGTTTCTAGGTACAGATACTTAGTTGGTAGGAATGCTTAAGCCTTTGCCTTGATTTTGTATTACCCTTTGCCTAGGTATGCTGAAATGCATTTTTTTTTTTCTTATTTGACAATTCAATTATGGTTTCCACACCATCCTCATATTTTAATGGAAGTTGACTGCATAAATTTTGGGTAAACCAGCTCCTTTTTCACTTTCTTCTTAACTGTGCCCTATATTACTCGTTCTTATTTTCCCTTCTGTTTTTTTTCCCCCTAAGTTTATCTAGACTATAATTTGTTTCCTTGTAGGTTGGTTTGAAGTTTATCCTGTATTTAAATGTAAATGGTGCAGACCCCGAATTCACCTATTGCTGCTGGTAGCTCTGCGGGTCGGAAAGCCAGTACGCGAATCATACTTGTCTGTCATGGGATCTCTCAGAGTGTTGCAGAGGTATCTTGTGAAATTAATCATGATATTGACTTAATAATGCCGTAGTAATTGCTTTTGAAAGATGCAGTTGTTCTTCATGCATAATCTTGTTTTTGGCATCGTCAAATGCTACTCCTTAATTTGTTGAAACTCAGAAACTGATTTCTCTTTGTAGTAAACTTTATACTAACTAATGAAACTTGTTTACTTTAAGTGATGCATGATAATACTTGCTTGCCAGTTCAGTAGCTACCCTGTGACTTTCTTTATGACCTTGCTTTTGAGTCGTACCCTTAACTACATTCATCTGCAACACTGCTAACCAGTAGCTAGGAAATTCTATTCTCTCCGTTGGATCATTTATACTTGTAACCATTATATCAAATCAAAGACCATGATAAACTACCACTGTTTCTAAAAGGGTGTGAAGGTGACCAAATCTATGATGCAAACCTGTTTTTCTTCTTCTTTTGGCTACGAAACAAAGGAAGCGAAATACATTGCTGCTTTCATTTTCAGGATTCCATTCCACATTCTGGTGATGGTTCAATGAATATGCTTGGTATAATACAGGTGCATAAATGTCTCCCTTATCTCTAGTATCAACATAATAGATTGGGTATATGATTTTCCTTTTGTACTAAGCAGGCACAGAAAACTGCAGAGCTGCTTCTTGATCTGAAGTTAAAAACTGTAGTCAGCAGCCCTAAGATTGCATCAACAGAGACAGCTAATACCATTTGTAGAGTAAGATACAATATTTGATAATCATTCTTTTAAGTTTAATATACTTTTTCCTTCCCAATTCTGAAGGAATTAGAGAAAACTGTAGGTTCAAGAAGCTGCTGATTGCCTTGGTGCAGACTGTGTGCCACGGTATGTTGAAATGAAGGAAATAGGTGACCTTGATATTGAACACATCCTTAGAAAATCGAAGAAGGTAAAGATAATTAGCTTTCATCTGAAAGTGATTTTGTATGTTGCTTTCTACTAAGATTGAACTCACTCACTGAGAACGAACAGAAAAAGCCAAATTCATAGTTCGAAATTTACCAGGATACTCTACATCATCATATGACAATCATTAGAACATGCAAAATACTACAGAAGCTTGACGATGTGAACTTTTGAATGTTGGTCATTGGCTTGGTCTCTTTTTCTTTCCTTTCCTTTCTTGAGTTTGTTCAACAAAAATGTCTCTTTTCCACTACAACGGGTTGGCCCTTTCTTGAGTTTGTTAACAATGTTAATCTTTCGCTGACCCTTGCGTGGTGAATGAGACTGATTGTTTCAGAATGTTGGTCAGTCTAAGGAGTTTGCTAATTGTTTTTATGTCGCTCTACCTTCTCAACTCGGAAATGGTTTGGTTTAACTTAAGTTTTCTTTGCAGGATGCGCCAGCGCTTCAAGCTTTTCAGCCTGGCTGGTTGGATGGATTCGATAAAGAAGTTACAACATCACTATGGAGTCAATCAGGGAAGGCCTGGAAATGTTTGTTGGCTGAACTCGCTGCAGGTTCAGAGGAGGAAAATGTTCTAGTAGCTGTAGGCCATCCTGCACTTCACATTGCAATGTTGGGACACTGCTTGAACTTGACAGAGGAATGGATAGGCACATTTCATCTGGATGCAGGCAGCATAAGCGTCGTTGATTTTCCAGATGGAGCGACAGGTCGAGGTATTATTCGTTGCATAAATTACACAGCTCATTTAGGAAGGTGGTCGATTCCCATCACAAGGCCAACCTCAGATGATGAGAATTTTTAAGTTCTGATGATGGTTTGTGGAATGCAGTAGACAAATGACACACAGTTTGTGTCCAGTTGTTTCACCAGATTAGTGTGCTGCATGCAAGATTTCACATAGAACATTGCTGTAAAACCATTACCCCTATGTTAATAGCAATTAATATTTAAAATAAAACTTCGTTTGGGTTTTACTTTTTAATACTCTCCACAGGAAAAATAACATCACTTTTGAGTTTTGATGAACCTAATAGGAGTAATTCAAGAAATGGGATTCTTTTGTTTGTTGTTGTTTTTTTATTTATTTTTTATTTTTTTTAAATCTTTTTTCTAGACAGAAAGAGTATTTGTTACTTAATACTATCATCTTTGATATTTTATGCTTATATTCTAATACCTAAACAAAACACGCCTTCCTCATTAGTTTGATCGCCACCAGTACTACAACAAGACTGAATAAGATGAACAATTTAATTCTCACATGATTATGTCTTTAAGTTTCAAAACAGCATTACGCGTAATATCAGCAATTTGTCCTCCAACCTAAAGTGTTTGGAAAATAAGGCTGTGGACAAACTTTGTCAAGTTAATTATATTAAATGATTAATACCATTAACAACCCTACATTAAACTCCATACTTGGAGTGAAACTACGTACGAAGAAGTATTCTCATTATTGATGTGATTCGTAAGTTGAAACAACAACTTTACATCTGCCAGATTAGAATCTTCCTTCATGATTTGTAATGATATTTAGACTTTAGATCTAAATTTCCCTCGAGATGACAACATTTGTGTCCTAGTACTAATATTATAGTTATAACAATGTTCACTTGGGATACATCTTGTAAAAAATATTGTTTTCATTTGTAAATATTATGTTCGCGCCGATGAAAATGATCAATTTGAAATGTTAAAACATAATATCGTTTCACTAATAATACACGATTGATATATACTTGAAATAAATAAAATCAAAATAACCTTCAACCAGTCTGGTTAGTAATATAACATACAAGGTTTCATTTGCTAATATTGCATTCTATTGATAAAGAATATGCTTAATATGAAATTTTGATAAAATACTATTAATTCACCAGTTAATTAAACCCAATTAATCTCTATTATTATAAAAGAACCTATTCCAATTATATTTTAATATTTTGATTGGCTGAAAAATTCCTGATGAAATGAGTGATTTTAAATAGGGATTAAGACCACGTCGTTTTGATGTCCATACAAAGCTTGGATGTCGTTGTGACGTCGCTCTTCCTCTCCTCTGCCGTTTCTTTTCACCCCGTCTTCCCAAAACACCATACTCTCTAACAGCAATTTTGAAACAATGAATCTCCGCACCCCGAGACCCCAAATCCTCATGGGAAGGACTAGGAATTCAATCCGATCCTCCCAATTTCTTAGCGATTAGGAATTTGGATTTTCCGAACGATGGCGTGTCCCTTTCTCACAATCCCTTAGGATTAGGAATTAGTTACCGCCAGATTGAGGAAGAATTTTATGTGTTCCTCCGCAACAAATGGATTTGGATGTCCTTACCCTCTCTAGCTTTCCTTGTGGTCGTGACGATGGTAATGCCGATGGTGATGACAGTGACAATCGGAAATTGATTTAGTGTTATTCTTTTATTCGATTTCTGGCAATTGATAAGTTTGTTCGTGTTTTTGCAGATAAGAAATCCTGTGCTGATGTAAGAAGCCTTGAATTTTGGTTGGATTCTGTGAGAAGAGGCAATAACTTTAGAGGTAATCTCTGATGATCTTTCGTCCCAACCAAGCATCGTATTTCCGTTCAATTTATAAACTGATTAAGGTTCTTCTTTGCTTAAGTTGTTAGAAGGAAGAAAGAATTGCATGGGAGATCTCTGAATTTAGCCAGTGAAATCTGGTTTGGTGTTGCTTTCTGGATCTATAATTCGTTTAGTCTGCACCAAAAATTAACTTTTGTTAGGCTTTTTAGATGCGCTGCATAAACTAATCCGTTAAATTTGCCATCACGAGAGGGCCAACTGCCTTTTTTTTTTTTTCCAAATTTGTAAAAGATTGCTCTGAATAATGTTTTTGCTGTAACCGTGCTAAAGAAATGTTGTGCTTTACATGTTTGGATAAGGGAGCAATAGGATTTTATGCTGGTATGCTCAATTTAGTCATGTTATGCTCTTGAATTAGAGCATACATACTGGTCCACAATGATGTTTCAGATGTTATGTTGGGTTACCTTACATTTGTTGCTATGCATAGTTAGTAGCACAATGAACTTTAACTACGAAGTTTGAAACTTATTTTTTTTGTCCATATAGGATTTGCTACATTAGTTCTTGACTTGTGAGTTGGAGCAGTGTCTTTTTGTAGTAACATAATAGACTAACAATTCAACTTGTTATTTGAGTCAATAGGTTATTGTGTGGTCTTCTAAAAGAGAAGGTTATAGTGTCGCCTTCACCAAAAGAAGCTACTTGTAGTAATATAAAATTTTTAATAATGAGAAAATTTTTCCCAAGTTCCAACTGTGGATGTTCAATTTTATTATTTGATTATTGGACTTGGGAAAGTTGCCGCCTCTGAGGACATATCAAAGCCATAATTAAGTTAGCTGGTTCATCTATGACATTTGATGCTATATATTGACTGCATGTTATCTGATGCTGGTGAACTCCCATGCAGTACCAGTTTAATCCTATTTTCAGTTTACCCCTCTTAAATGGCTTTTCTCTTGATTCAAAGACCACTCCTTTGCTGTGTCACTGAATGAAGATAGCACTATAAACTATTTCGCTTGATAATTTTATTTGTTTTGAATTTTGTGCCTGACAGATGGTACACAAAAATTTTTTTTTTCTGATTCTTTCTTGGGGTTTTGATTTGAATCAGGTTTGTTTAATAGTATCTCTTTTCGTTAACTTTCAGTATACTATCTGTGTTACTACACTTGGCACTTGCTTGCATGTATGGTTAGCGTTTTTCATATACTCTGCAATGACTTTCTTCAAATATTTTGTGTTGATGTTTGGCTAGCAGACTCGACAGATGAAGTGTTCAACAAAATTCGTCCAGACGCTGGCACTTTCAGAAGATGCTGAAAGGTAATAGTTGCAGCGAAAATATTGTGGGGGGATGCATGAGATGATACTAATTTCTCAAAAACTTGTAGGCTGTTGTATTGGAGCAGTAGTCCATCGTGAAATCGAAGTTATGCAGCAGGTGTCAAATTGGAGAACAAAAAAAGGGAAAAAACAAGTTTGCCAATGGAGGAAGAACCCACAAGGCTTGTTTGAGGGAATTTATGTTAACATTTGGACAGGAAAGATGATCTTCTCCATGCGATTTGCTTTATTGATTCAGTGAAGGAAATGATAACTTTTACTTACTTTCAAGTTGGGAGTTTGCCTTTTGCATTATAAAGTCTGTCACCTCAGCGACTAAGAGCAAAGAGAATGTAAGAAAATGTAAGAGAATCAGAAACGAGTAGAACTAACAACTCCAAGCAACGGATTCATAAGAACTATGAAAATGAAGCCAGAGTTCTCAACTTTCATGTAAGTTTCAAGTGTAATAAAGTTGTATCTTCCTATTCCTATTCCAAGAACACTTGGTAGTTAATGTTTAATTATAAGTTACTTCTTTTTTCCCTCAACCGATACATATGTGAACTAGGATTTACGAATTATTATATTATAAAATTTTTCTTATAATCCTTCGAAAAGGATTTATTCACAACGGAAATCACAGTCGCCAAACCAAAAAAAATACTTCCAGGTCTGTAATAAAATTTTTAATTGTATGCAAATTCTTTGAATTCAGTATTTAATAGGAACAAAATTTAAAATTGCAATAATCCTTAATAAAACTTTTAAATGTTATGAATCTGGACAATGCCATTCACCTATAATAAACTCCTCATTACTATAATTATTCAACTCAAAAAATTTAAATATATATAAAATATAGTATGTTATGAATTTGTTAGTATTAGTATTTATTTACAAAATACAATAAAAAATATAAACTGGTCGCATATCGCGCGATTACAAACAGACTAGTACATAATAATAAATTTTTTTTTGAAAAAGAAATAAAAATCAAAAAACCATGTGCTCTTTCGTTCACTTTGCACATGCCTGAGGGGCTAAAGGTCAAAAAAAAAAAAAAAAAAAAAACCCCAAGTACGCCATCCATCCATGAATACTTAAGAAACTTTTCTTTTTAATTTATTGAAAAATCAAGAATCCAAATATCTTCTGTTCTAATAACAATACTCCTTACGCCATTAAATAGTTCTCTGAGTAATTATTTCATGACGGAGGCTAAGTATACTTTCTCCAAGATGTTTGAATTGTAATCAAGAATTCAAAGCAGACTCTACTAATATACTTTGGTCCTTTGTTTGATTATGTTGGATCATATGCATGGTTCTTCCCACTTCATGGAATAAATCATGCCTTTTTTTTTTTTTTTTAAATGGATCATTCAAACACAAGTAAATGGAGACATTTGTGAGAAGTGAGAACTGAGAAGCTATCTATAGTGGGTCGACTTAGACACTAAAACATGCAAAATTCTTTGCTAAAATTCTAAAGTCAAATAAAGCATGCTAAAAGAACATCCAAAAACTGATAATTATTAGTAACGGTTCAAGAGTCATTCGAAAGGGAACCAAAAAAAAAAAAAAAAGAAAGAAAGAAGTTGTCTTCAACTTTATTGTTATTAGTTTTTATCTATTAGTAGTATTTGGCTTTGGTTAAGATCTTTTATTAATTTTTTTATTTACTTTTTCTAAACGTAAGAAATTCAACCTCGTTTAAACCTCTTGAATGTGCTATCATATAGTCTCTTGATGGAATTTCTTTAAATCTTTAATCTTTAAATCATGTTGATTGGGACTCAAATGTAATATTCTTTCAATCAACTTTTTAGGGCAGGCGAAATGGAAAATCAAAAAATTTATTTAGTTTCAGTTTAGCCATGTATCAACTTTCAAGTCCGTTGTTCCCATTTACCAAATATTTTT